GGCTGCCATAAAGTATCTGCAGATACTTCTTTTCTCCAGGCTGAACAATCTCAATTCTTTCAGCCTTTCCTCATAGGAGAGGCTCCAGCCCTCTGATCATTTTGATGCCACTCCTCTGGACTCACTCCAGCAGGTCCATGTCCTTCCTGTGCTGGGACCCCAGAGCTGATGCAGCCCTGCAGGTGGGGTCTCACAGAGCAGAGCAGAGGGGCAGAATCCCCTCCCTGCCCTGCTGCCCACGCTGCTTTGGATGCAGCCCAGGACACGTTTGGTTTCTGGGCTGGGAGTGCCCATGGCTGGGTCATGTCCAGCCTCTCATCCACCAGCACCCCCAGGTCCTTCTCAGCAGGGCTGCTCTCCATATGTTCATTCTCCAACCTGTGCTGACAGCTGCCCTAACCCAGGTACAAGACCTTTTACAGTTGACTTTTTGAAAGCAAAAAGCAAATGAAGAATAATGCCATACTATCAAGTTATTAGTTTTTATATTACAGAATTAAAAGCTGCAGGATATCTTCTTGCATTACATGCCTTTAAGAGAATTAAGGAAGGCAAGAATCATGTTAATGTCTTGCATCACACATACTTGTCAGATTTAACATCTATAGCCAGCCTTAAGAATTGTACTGGCTTCATGACACCCCATTGAAGAATCTCATCATGGAGGTAAAGAGAAAATCCCAACAACACTTTACCCCAGACATTGCTTAGAACTAACAGCAAGTGCACAAAATTTCAAGTTTATTATTATCATAGAGCAGATACCTTCTCAACTTACAAAATCATTAGTTTTCTTTGTAGGGAATTTTTATATCATGTGTTCTCACTGTGGGAAGACTACAAATACCAATTCAACTGTAAGGGCATAATTGGAAGGACACTTTCTTCTGCTGAGTTGTTATTAAGACCAGTGATGTGCAAGGCAAGATATCGCAGAACTGAAGATACCCTTTCACAACCAGCAATGGAGAAAAGTAAAAAAGCTGACAGACTTCTTTACTTATTTGGGGGAGAGGAGAGAACAACACACAATGCTTTTGCTTTATTTCTTGGGTAAACCTCCTTGATTAATTTGATTCTTAAATTCTTGATAATTCATTGCTCTTGAACCTTTCAGATTCACACCTCAAAGATGCATGACCCTCTAAGAACAAACAAAGTGGCTCAGCCTCTGAGAAGTGTAACATTCACCATTTAGATTGATTCACCATTCATATTGAATGTGAAAATCAAAGTAGTAAAATAACACTGCAACATAAATAATTTAACACGGTACTAAAATTTTTCACTCACTGAAAAATGTATTATATTAGACACAATTAGTAAGGAGTGCTATTGTTCTGGTCTATGTCCCCCCTACAGCTGTTGCTGTTACTGAAAAGCTAACATTTCTAGTAAGCAGCAGTTTTTCTTTTAAAAGCGCAAGTTTTATGACTAAAATGCTAATTCCTAAGCAGCCTGTCACAAAATTTACTGACTCTTTGCACCAGGTAGTTGTAGAAAGGTCCTGCCAAGATCAGGAGCAAGTGTTAATGAATGCATCATGTCCACCTCTGAGATTTCAAAGAGCATTCAGGGAGGGAACACACCTTTTTCAACCCTTGTGTAGGTACCACACGAAAGGGTAAGGAAGCAAAAGGGTAAGGAACGTAGCAGCATCAGGAGATTTGTGACAAAACACAAAGTCGAAAATACTGATTTCTTCATTAATGCAAATTTCAGTGTTGAAATAGTTGATTCCATGACATATCTAGAGCACAACATGTAGCAGCACTCACCACCATTATGAAGGAAGAATTGGGTGGAGACCATGAGCCCAGTCCAACATGTGATGTCAGCTTTCAGTCAGATTTCAGGAACATTTAACTCCTGAATGTATAGTTTTATAACCACAGGATTATGCTGTCAGTGCTTCTTGTACCTAATGTATGCAAGTTTATTACAAAAAAACAAAAACAAACCAAAGAACATCAAACAAAAACAAACAAAAAAACCCCCCACAAAAACAACAAAAAAAAACTTCAAAAAGTGGCTTCTCAGGGGAAAAATAGCAGCACTTGAGAATCCAAATCACAGTAATACTACAACTGGTTAACTATTTACAACAGAAATTCCTTTTTTTTGCTTAACCACTGCATCATACTGTTCTCAAAGTAACAGCTTTTAAGTTGAGATCCGATTTACATCTCAGGCTTAACGACTTAATTTGCAGATATTATTTCCATCATTCTGTATACAGAAAAGTGACCCAATAGTGGTGTCTTCAGAAGCTCCATGTTTCTATAGGTAGAAGTAAATTTGATCCATCAAACACAGCTTGTCATTCTCTAAAACAAAAACCCTTATGAAGACTTCTCATGAAAATGGCAACAGATCGAGTTATATTAATTAATTAGAAGTCAAAGAATCAAAGAATAATTATAGACTCATATATGTTTGGGGTTGGAATGGACCTTAAATATCATCTACTTCCAGCCCCCTTGACATGTGCAGGGATACCTTCTACTAGACCAAGTGGCTCAAAGTCCCACCCAACCTGGCCTTGTACTCTTCCAGGGATGGGGCATCCACAGCTTCTCTGAGCAAGCTGTTCCAGTGCCTCACCACCCTCACAATAAAGAATTTCTTCCTAATATCTTAATGAAACATGCTCTCTTTCAGTATGAAGCCATTATCCCCACATGCCCTCATAAAAGGTACACATTCAGCTCTTTTGTAGGCCTGCTTGATGTCAGCAATTGTTCAACAGGTGCTCATGCTATAAATTACATGATGATTAGCACTGGCTTTATCTCAGTAACACTTCCAGTAGTAAGACCAGCAAACTGCTCAAACACTCGGGCAAGATACACCAAGACTTCGGACTCCAGGAGAAAGCTGTGTACAACAGAAGCAGGAATGGACTAACCAGCAACACTACTGCAATTATATTAAATTACCAGACTCAGTTAACGAATGCATCCAAGTGAAGCATGCTTCATAGTTATTTACTTTATAAACAATTTATAGCAGCAGGAGTCCCTGTTCCATGTGCAACTGGGCATTTGGAATTCATGGGACTACACCATCCTAGAATATTATGAAGGATGGGCATTTGTGCAGCCATGTGTAATATTGTTTCTAATCTTTCTTGTGGTCAAAGGAGTGAAGACTAAAAGAACAGAAGTAAAAACATGGGAATAACTGTGACCATCCCTCAGCATGAAAGAAGCAAAACATTTTTAACTTTTTTTTAATAGACACCATTCTTGTTCCTAAAAAAGAAAAGGAACAAGAGCTGGAGATCTGATGTTGTTTGCAATACTTCTAAGCCTCACTGCATTCCAGTTACCTCAAGCAGAAAATATACCACAGGTAAAAATCCAAGAAAGTTGACTTTATTTCATTTGAAAAGGGTTGAGAGGGAAAGGCAATTACATAGCAGAAATAATAATAAAATATGGATGTATGGGGATACAGACCATCATTGTAAGAAATAAAAAAAATACCCTTCAGAATTTCTAGGTGCTTTATTTATTAACCGCAGCCAACATGGAGTAGAGCAGCTTTCTGTCTATCCTTGCAGGGAGCATAGCCAGTGCATAGAGAAAGGAGAAGGGATGTGGAACTGGAAAGCATATGCCAAGTAGAGAACATACAGATGGTAAAAGTATACTCAGAATTATAAAGAAAAAAAATAAGCATCTCTGGATGGTAGAAAAGAAGAGAAACAATAGCCTGGGCTCTGCTGTTTCTGTGCACATATTAATTATGTTTTAGCATGATTAGAAATATTTTTTTTGCCTTATTGAGAGATTTTTACTTCCATATCAAAGGTTATTCATCTTCTCTTCGAAAGTCCAAGAAGCTGTCATTTCATTACATTAATATTTATTGCTCAAGTGAACAATGTAAGCAACCAGACAGGAGGAACTAATGTAGAGTATTATGGGAAAACAGTCCCAAAAAGTGGAAGAGAGATTAAAAGCTTTCTGATGTTATGATAACACACAAAGCCACTTTTCCTCACCTGTTGTCATCATTCAAAGGGAGGGAAGCAGATATAAAAAGAGCAGGGTGTTGAAATCAGGTTAAAAGGTGTTGCAGGATGAGGACTGTGTCAATACCTTAGGTGAGACAGCAAAGCAGAAGCTTGGAGACAACCTCAGCCCTGTAAGGGGACTGAAAGCACAAGCGACAGATAATTTCTGAAATGTGTTAATAGAGTCCCAGAGGCTACCTGAATCACATTCAGGATGTCAGTCTTCCTGTGGTGTCTACATCAATAGCAGTAGATGACAAAACTAGAAAAATGTCAATGCCATCTGCTCAAATAAAGCAGGATTTTTCTCTCCTCACCTCCCCTCTTCAGTTGTTTTAGTCCCAAGTTTCAAAGCCTTATTTGCATTCATACAAAACATGTTTGCAGTCAACTTCACTGCGATACTGGAGCTTCTCCTCCGACACCCCCAGGACACAAAGCAAAGCTGGCCAGGTGTCTCCAAGCCACAGAGCCAGCTGCTCCAAACCAAGCTCACAGGAAATAGCAAGGAAAATATGCAGCATTTGACACATCTGGAATAGATTGCAGAGTCTTTGAAAATACTGTCCTAGTTCCCTTCCTCCTGCTGATGAGATTTCAGGCTTCCAAACTGATGCATCAACTATAGAGAATTAGATAATGTGTACATTTTAACCCTGCATATTCTTTCTGACCAAATGAGAATTTTTCCAAGATAGCACACCAAGTACATGTATGAAGTTTCCTATAAAATGCATGGACCAAACAGGAGTAATTCTACCAGAAGTTGCTACTTAATATGGGAAAACTAATATAGTTGAAAAATAGTGCTAATTGACGTTTGTTTGTTGCTATAAAACAGGAGATGAAAAAGCAGGGAGGATTGGTTAGTACCTATTTTGCCAAGTAATATGTCTGTAATTCCATGTTAACACAAATACTGCAGCATACATTTTTCAACATGAAGTACAAAAAAAAAAAAACCAAAAAGCATTAAGTCTTAATTAGCAAAACAAAGCAATGCTTTATTATTCGCTTCTTTTTCATCTGGACAATGAATGCAAAAGAACACAGAAACAAATAGAAGTTTAGAAGGAAATCCCAATAGGATATTGAACATAATACTTAACTTTCTTCTTTCCATAAAAAGCTGAGAAGTAGAGGTGCCCCTAAAATTTTAGTTACTATCAGTTATCTCTGAAAGATTAGGAAAATGAAAATGTTTACATATGTATATTTTAAACATTCATTATAGATACAAAACTCAATACAGCACTAGCTTAACACAACATAAACCTCACTGGTTTAAATGTTAGTAATAAAAAAGCAGAATTCTAATTAAAATGAAAAATGGAGGAAACTATTTGTATTTTTTTCCTCAAAGGTGCAACCAACAGCCAATGTATTTTTGCAACTGAGATTCCAGTTGTACAAAGGACTGAGAGATGTCTCCTCCTACTTAGAGAAGAAGCATAAATTTCACAAACTTTAAAAGAAACTACACGTGCATGAACTGTAGACAGTACCCCTTAAAGAGATGATATTTATAAGAACGTAATGGTATACCTTAAATGAATAAAGGGAGAGGTAAAACACATTTTCTACTTTCAGAGCTTTAAATTTCTTTTTTCCTTCATAGATTACTTCCCAAATTACCTTGCATTTAAACTAGTTCGTTCTTATGAAATGGCAATGTATTTATTCTAAACAAGCATCATAAAGTAGTTGTATGATTTTTGAGAAGCACTCAATGTGGATGTTGTATTTATAGTGACCTCAAAAATGCAAACCTCCAAAATTACAGCTACTATTAACTAAACCTTTAATAGCCAATTAACAAAAAATATGTATATAGCTCTAAGATTAAACAAAATTTAGAGAATATGCTGTTACAAAATATATTTTGACATATTTCCTAAGAAGCAATTAAAACAGTCATTTAGGCAGAGTTATTTACAGGGGACTCAAAGTGTATCAGTTTTAGCACAAACCAGTATATTGGCTTGAATTCAATAAAATATTGGCGAATATAAGTTTGTGACAAGGAACTTAGGGGTTTAGTAAACTTAAAAATGTTCTATACAATCATTAGATGAATCTAAATTATATAAAAAAATCTGTCTGAACTGGTTAATCTGAATCATTTAATGCATTTCATTGTACTCAGAAGTTCAGATCACCAAGTCTGTGGTACATACAAGCTGTGAAACAAGTTACCACTCAAATCTTTCAGATACAACAAGAACAGATTAACTGAGTCTGACTGTACCTAATCTATACTTACAGATAGTTTGTTCTTATTTCAATACTATCTTTTTAACAAGCACATATACAAATGTGCTAAAACAAAAGGCAGCAATTATAAATATTTACTAGAATGACCAGAATTGGTACTTGATCATAAACCATCCTGTCATTCATTTTTGAAGCCATATTTTCAATTATTTGTCTTCTGGTTTTAGTAGTCTTCTATTTTATTAACTTGGAGGGTTACAGATCATCTGGAAGTTTCACACCAGCACAGGAAAGGAATGTCTGTTCGATGCAGTCTGGAGATAAAGAAGAAGTTGTACTTCAGTTCATCGCCATGACTTACCAGAAGCAGCGTTGCTAAGTGACCAGCAAACCTGAACTGCAAGCAAAACAGCAGCCGCCCCACCCCCCGTGTCAGAATGGGAGAAAACACAAAAATTTACTGTTATTTTGTTATGATTTCAAAAGAACACCTGACAATATTTTCTAACTGTAGGGGTATTGTTTGTTATTTATTAAAATTAATAATCAGTGCAGAGAAGTCACTTTAGAGAAACTTACTTGTCTATGCAAGAATAAGGACATTTAAATGCAATGGCAATTAATTTGAATTTCTTGTTTCAGTACTTAAGATGCTTCAAAAACATAATATTTATGTGTTCATCTAAACACCCCACAGACCATATGAGCCCACAACTTGCACATCTCAGTGGAGCTTACAGGTAAAGAAAAATTTCCAAGCCATTGAACTCTGATAGGACAGCTCACTAAGTCCAGTAAGTCCTGGGTTAAAGAGTATTTTGTCCTAACACAGAATTGTAACTGCAGAAGAGCACGGAATCCCAGACTGCATTATCCTACACTTTCACTATTCTCTTCAAACTACAGTTCTCAAATACCATTTAGTCCTAACAACTGGTTTTAAAACAGTATTTTTAAACTTGACCGTACTGAAAGCTAACAGATATTTTCAGTCACATCTACAAAGCTCAGTATTCTGAAGAGGCTACTACAACACTAAGAAAAGAAACCATATCTAACTATTGCAAAAAGGCAATGCTGCCATGTAGTTGCCAATTTAGATTGGCTGCTTAAAGGCAATATACACCTCAATAAATTAACTTACTGCATAATTTGGAAAAGAAAAAGCACATTTAAAAGAAATAATACGTCACAGTTTACAGATTTTTTCATCATCAAGTGTATATTATATAGCACACATTCATCATTAGCTGTTTTTAAATGTTCATCACTGTCTCCTATAAAAAGAAACAGGGTTTTTTTCCAGTCAAATACTGTCTCTGTTTTCAGGCTTCAAAAATGTGTTGCAAGTTAATTAAAATTGATTCTGTGATCAATCCTGGAGAAAATTTATTAAAGACTTCATTTTTTTACAGCAATCATAGCTTCTCATGTATGTCAGAATACAGTTTTTAAGCATTTTTAGTGAAGTGCAGAGCAATGAAAATGCTGCAGTACTTATTTCTAAGCTTAAATTTATCTTGTCATGCAATTTAAATAAAAAACAGTTGAATGCAAATAAAGACCCCTGGTTTAAGTTACATAGAGAACTCCAATAAATCCACTTAACGGATAAATAGTATTTTAAAAAAAAAAGGGTGGATATGTGCCAGAATGATTAGTCAGCTACCTGAAGGATACATAAAGCACATTGTTGCATACACAATAATCATACTTGTACATGACTGTCTTAATCCAGTCATGTAAAGAGAGACAATACTCAACTATTGTTTGCATGTTCAGAGCCATGTCAATCAGATTTAATATGCAGGCAGATTAGAGCTTCCTAACTTGCTGACAACAGGTTGACTGCTAAAGCCAGTTTTCCAGCACAAAGGACGGTATCCTGACAGCAGCAGATACTGTTTCTTAGGTAAAACAACATCTTCCTCCTAATTTCTGTTGCTGAACATTAGTTCCAGGGAAGACTGGAGGCAATGAGGATGCAATATTTGTTTTCAAGTAAGAGATTTCACACATCTCCAAGCCCATGAAGAATACATATACAATATTCATCGCAGATGTTCAAAACCCATGCAACTTCTACTTCGTGAAAGAAGTCTGATTATTTATTTTTAATATTTCTTTCTTCTCCACTTTCCTGGGTAGATAACCTCCTTACTAAAAATGGCTTACCTTCAGTACAAGAAAAAAAATCTTGTTCTGTGAGCAGCTGCCATGCTTTCAGACATATTTCTGACTTTAAGATAATTAACAAAGCCTCGAAAGAACAGAAGGAGTCCTGAAAGTGCAGAAAATGCATAAAATTAAGTATATTACATAAATACACACTATTCCACATTATTCTTAGTAACATAATTTTTAAACTCTAGCCTACAAAGTAAATTGAAGTCTTTATTTATCATTCACAAATTCAACAAGTGAGTTAGCTTTCATCTTGTGATACAAGGATTCAATTTTATGAAAGGTTTTTCACAAATTTTAGTGATTTTAAGTCCAAGTGTCATCTGCTAAAAAGACTGCATGAAAATACTTAAAAAGAAAAAAATCCTGAAAAGTAAAAGAATCTCATTTGCAAATTCAAGTAGAATTCTCAAAATAAATTACTATTGTGTTAGAAGAGTACCAGGTTTACAAAATGTACCTTTAGCAATATGCACAATAAATGTACTGCAAATCAAAAGAGGAAAAAGACAAAGTAAGGATTGCTCTAGCAAGAAGCCAGTAATGAATTATAGTAGATAATGACTTGGGATTTAGCCATCTATAAAAAAACACCAGTCCAAGAGGAGGAAGAACAATTGCCAAAGAAAATTACTCAACATATGTTAATATTACAGTTTTTGCCAACTCCAAATTTCAAAATCTTTTAAATTATCTACATTTTACTGCATTTGAAAGAATATTTCAGCTAAGAGGAAAAAGATGCACACAATAGTCACAGAGAAGTTACATTTGCACTTTGAAGATATATGCTCATGTGAATATACACATGTGCATTAGAACTCCAAAGGCTCAAATTGAGGTTTTACAAGTTCAGCAAAGGATTTAATTATTTTCTTTCCTACACGATGCACTTTTTCTTGCTGCTGTCCTGGATGAGCCCCTGATTTTTTCCAATGATCATTTCTTCTCTAAATTATTTTTGTTTGTGATTTTTTTAACTTTCCTTTTGCTTTTCTAAACCAAAGCTTCATTAGAACATGCGTACAAGCAAAGAAAAAATGACAACAGAGAACACTCTCCTAACCAGTGAAACTTCACCTATGCCAGACATTTCTGTGATTAAAGCAAATTCTCCACAGAGAAGAAAGCAATAAGATCTTGACCACAAGTCTACTACAAAACCTGCTACCCAAAGGTTACCAGACATAGTTCCCCCCTTTCAACTAAAAAGAAGTGAAAACAGCAAAATGAGGGCAGGCAGCTCTTTAGGTGCTTGATAGCATATTTTCTGCATTATACACGTTGGAAAACCAGTCCAAGCTCAACCCATATTTAACATTTCTCTGTTAAGGGAAGAAAGAAAAAACATCCCACTTTCCATTGTGTTCCTCAACAAGAAACATTGGCTAACATTTAAATTTAAAATTTATAATTCTCTCCAATTTTTTCACTGTACATCACAGCTCCTTGGAAGTAGACCACTTTGCTTTTCCCTGACGCATAAGCAGATTTTTCCAGATGTTGAAAGGAAGAAAGCGAGCAGAAACAGATCAGTGAACACCAGAAGAGAAGAGATGGCAGTAGGTGGGCTGAAGGATGTCAAAGGGCTATGCATAAGAAAGACTCCAACTCATTCACTTCTGGAGAGATGCTGGACATACTACTTTGTGTGCTCTAACAAAAGGTTATCCAAAACAACAAAACACAGATCTGGTTGGCAGTGTTCCCATGACATGATAATACTCCTCTGTGTCCTGCTAAGCAGCTACTTCAGGTAGAATCCTTCTATGGTGCTCTAGCAATACCATATAGCCACTTTATCAGTTTAAAAATATTGTTGGCATATCTCGTGCAAAACATACATAAGACAAGGGAATGCTGACTGCTGGATGCACACTGTATGCCTCAGAGTGTTTTTTATTCCAAGGCATATTATAAATTTCATGATTTAAAGAAAAAAATAAAAAAAAAAATCTTCAAATACTTCAGACAAAAAATAAGGCTTTCCCAAATTAAAGTGAGCTATTTCCTGAATATGTGCAAAAGACTAGTAAAAAAGAAAATTACAGCTTTTTCCATAGAAAAAGCAGGGGCAAGGGGAGTGCTAGGGGAAGAACACTATTTTCATCCTAGTGAAAAAAGGTGTCAAATCTCAATCTCAGGCACCACAGGGCTTGGTTTTAATTAAAGATTTATCTGGAAATGTCTGTGCTGGCAAAGAGTCTTTTCACTTCAATGTCTGTTTGTGTCTGCAAAGAGTCATTTCACCCACTTGAATACAATAACCTCAAACAATACAAAAAACATCAAGGGACCAATGCTGTGATGTGTTAAACATTTGCAGTTTTTATGTATTTCAAGCAACCAAGTGCACATTAGCAGAGCAAGGTGGGCATAGAAAATCTGATGAATGCCCTTGAATACTACTAAAAGGCAGATGGAGAAATTGTTAAGAAATGTTGTTTAAGTCTTATGGTATTACTTGCAAGGTAAATACCGAGTCACAAACTGTGAAGATCTCAGAGTTGGTGTTTTTTCTTAACTTACTCAACACTTCATTCTAACACTTGCTGTTAGGCACGTGAATCAATTGACTCAAAGGGAAGAGTGCCACCTACTGAACCAGCAACAGTTTACCATGCTTCCAGAGCTGGAAACAGAAATTAAAATGCATAGCAGCATTCACTTCTGTAAAAGAAAATCATTACAGAGTCCATATTCAAATTACCAAATTCACAGCCGGAGAAAAGTTACAGTGGTTGGGGTTTGGTATACCTTCAATTAAAAACAAACAGAACAGCAGAATTTTATGTGCATAAAACTTTAAACATGGGAAGGCAGAGCTCTTAAGAGAAAGCTGACATCATGGGACCACTGTGATCAGCAAGCATGAAGCCATTCTCTCATCCTACTGAGCAACTGCTGATGCAGTTTGCATTTCAAAGGACTCAAAAAGGACATTTTGTGACCTGTGCACAAGACAGCAAACTCCACCTTCCTGGGTACAGTCACATTTCTTAAAATTTAATACTTGACATATAGGTTTACACATGTAAATACTACTTAGCACAAAAGCCAAAGTTTTATTACACAGTTCTGCACCCCTAGATCAGTAGAAGCAGCTTAAAAAGTGCAAGTTACAACTCTCTCATAATCCCTTATGCAGAACAAAATTTTTTGAGCTGAAGGGTATTTGAATAGTCCACAGTTCACACAATAACACCACTATGGTAACCAATAACCTCATTAATACTATATTAATACTAATATGGAAATAAAAACACACAAAACTATCAGCAGCTAAGGAAAAGCACATAGCTAAACATGCTACAAACTCTTATTTACAATTACATGATTCATCTTTGAGTACTTCCACATCAAAACAGAAATTAATTCAGCTGCCACTTACCAAGTACAAGAAATATCCACCAAAGCCAGTACTGTCCATTGAAATATCCAGTAAAATAATCTGAAAACTGAAATTCATACATGAGGCTTAGCAGCAGTAAGATAGATGACTAAGATATATTTAATGCACTATGTAAATAGAGAAATAAATAAAAGTAATTAATCCTACTAAAATGCAAAACTAGCATATGTACTGCAGTTTAATACACAAATAAAACACTTCTGTTGTCAGTTGGTTTGCAGCAAAGTAATTAAAAATCTCAAAAAAATACGTATGTACCCATTTAAAAGAAAATACATATATATGAAAAACACCCTTTTATTACTTGCCAGTAACGTGATGTTTTTTATTATAATGAATCATCACTTCTCGATTTTCCCTTTTCCCCCCTGTGCCTGCCATCCCAAACACATTACAGCAGCCTGCTGCTTTAGATATTAACACGAAAAGCCACATTAGTTTAATCTTATCAGACAGGGATGTTCTGCTGACCCCACAAAAGAAGAGCTTTTGACCTTCTGTATACCCCCTACTGTTAATCGCTGCCACGAATACCAGCCCCATAAAGACCCCCAACTCATTAAAGTCTTTTCATTTTCAAACCAGCATTCAGTTCCCAGCAGTGAGCTGAACGCAACTAAATGAACCTTGAAGTGCCATTTCAACTGTTCCTGCGAGTGACCATGGCAGACAGTTTTGTCCTCCCTGTGAAGTGGGAGGCAGCTGGAGGGCAGGGTGTGATCGTACTGGAGACAGGTATCTGTGCCTTTACCAGACTCCAGACTTCATGCTTCACTGATAAAAAGGCTAATCAAATGCCTCCAAAACCCACACAAAAAGTAGAAATGGGGAGATGAGTGAAGAGTTGCCAGAAGGAGTAAAATAACCTACTTAGCAGCCCTGCACGTTTTCCATGCACTTCTACTCTGCTATCATTCATTACATTTACTGCATCCTGACTTTTGTGCTTATGCTTCCCATTTGCCTTTTCTAGGACATTTCAGTGTATCAACCAAGAAGTAATAGGGGGGGAAACAAAAAGCCCTGAGCAAACAAAAGAACCCACAAAACCAAAAAACCCAACAAAACAAAAACAACCAAACAAAAGATACTGGGCCACATATGCAAGCAAATGAAAATCTAAAACATTTAAAAAACTCTAGATAAAGCTGGATTTTTTCTTCAATTAATCCATATGTTTTCTCCAGAATAAAGCCAGATCATGTGAATTCTTTGAGGGTTTAATCTTATATATTCTATTCATTTCTATCATAAATCAAAGAAAAAAATAGCAAGAAACAGAATTGCTAAGTTGAACTAAAGAGTTGGTATTTACATTATCCCTATGTAAATACTCAGTTACTAGGATTTTGACAACACATTGACGTTGATCCCATTATACTTGCTAGTCAGTATTTTCAATTCTCTAACCATTAAATGTGTGCGCATATAAATATACATCTATATATACACACACACAAACATATCAATAGACTTTTCCAATAGTTACAATTTAATTTGATTGGAAAGAAGATTTATTAAAACCAACAATCAAATACTTGGCCATGTGCATTACTCTCCTCCTACTTTCCTTGGGCAGAATCAGCCATGGCTGGGTTTCCCCTATAGGAAAATTGTGCTTTTCTTGCCTCTGCTCTTCCTTCTCCCCAGTAAAAGCTGATACACATCAACTATATGTGAATTCAGGCTGTTTAGACACTAAGGTAGTACAAAACTGACCCTGAGTGAGAAATGGTGGCACAAGCCTTTGGAAGATCTTGAAAGAAAGGAACACAACAATTTGGTGCACACAAGCCTGCTTATGTGTCACCATTAAAATGACTGTCAGCACACACCTCACGAGCTTTCTGCTCTTGTCTCTAGGAAGGGAGACAGCAGAGGAACATGATGATCTTCATTACAAAAAAAACCCAACCCTGAGGTCTTGGAATTGGCCAGCTCTAATATTTTTGAATTAGTAATGGATTACATACAATAATTTAATTTTAATCTAGAACACAGTAATCCTACAAGGAAGTTTAGCATATATTAATTTTTATATTTGTTTTGAGCACATTTTTCAGCAGAGAGGAAAAATAAAATTGACATAATGAACAAGTTCTGTCCCCTGTTTAGTATGCCTTAAGGGAAGCTGAAAGTATCCCAAATGAATACACAGTTGAAAAATTTATGTCTTCTTTCTCCATTAAGATAAATTCCATCTCAGCCCCTGAATTCCAACAAATATACCAGAATCACATCTGGTCCAGTAGCATTCCCCTGCTCTGAATGAGCAAAAAAAGAAATTAAAAAAAAAAAAAAAAAAAAGAAATAAAGCTCTAAGAAGGATGCAGTACATGTCCAGGAAGCACCATGCAATTTTTCTACAGTTTTTTTACTATTGTGCTAAGACTAAATTAAGTTACTAACACTCACATGGGGAAAAAAAAATTTAAAAGGTCATTGATGGCAAAACATGAAATATATCTAAGTTATCAAGATATTTTTCTTCATTAAAAGGGATAGGATTTTAAACGTTATATCTCACAGATAAGCAGAATTCAAGTTCAGAAAGCAGCATTACATTTCATCTAGCATCCACTTACTTAGCTAAGTAACTTGCATTTGGTTAATATGCCTTTTGGAAAAGTATTTAGTTTTGCAGTGAAAACATCAAAAATCAAGCATTTAAGATTGTAAAAATGTGACTAACTTTATAATTAAGCTGGACTTGATCCCATATGTATCTTGCAAGGAATAAAATAATTAAGTACAGGGAGGAAGTGCATTCTTATATTCCCTTCCCAACAGGCCAAGACATCTTTTATACAGGACACTATAACACCAGTGATATTTTAGGTACTTGCTCCACTTCTTCTGCAGCGTTTTTAATACTTGTGCAAGGAAGAAGTCATTCAGCATTTATTTTAGTGAAAATGTGAACATCAAATGTTATGTCAGGTAAAAAAAAGAAAAAACACTGGTTTTCAATTCCCTTATTATATCTTTGAATAAATTATTATGGGTTTGTTCTACAGAGACTGTACAGTGTGAATCAGGAAACATACCCGTACAATGAGAATCCATTTGATCAGGGAGAGACCAAATCCACAGATTGCACCATACCTTCCAGCTATAGTATTTGTTATACAGAAGGATAAACAAAATCCAATCCAGTTGAAAATAAACGCCACTATAAAATAAAAGAAACAGTAGCTTCTGTTAATCTATATAGCTAAGCAAACAGACTTAACAGTAATTTCACTTTTAAACTAAGTACGTGCTTACACAGTCAGTTAATTCCCTTCCGGTAATTCAGGCTTTCAGAGATTGACTTTGAACCCAGACATTCCCCATGGTATAGTCACTTAATGACAAAGCAAATGGTAAACAGGCTGGAACCTACTAATTTACACAAGAGAAAATGCCAACATAAAAGAAAGTATTACACTGCAATAGACACCTAATCAGATTATACTGGACATGAAAAGTAAATTCACAAAAAGGACTATAACATATAAGATTTGGATTAAACAAAAGAAGAAAAACCCTTGCTACACTTTTATAACCAAAAAAATAGTTACATGCACACATACATGCATGTATCAAGGCTGCATATTCAGCTTTATCCATTTTAGATCTAACAATAAAAGTATCTGCTCTTGCTCTGAAAACTTAGTGCAGAAATGAAGGTAAGTTGAGATGCTGATGTTTCATGGTTCTCTTTTAGATCTATATTCATAAGACTTAAGAAGCCTTGGAAGCTTTTCACAGAAGTTAAAAAATCAATGAACAAAAAGAACATTGAGCATACTACCACTATTGCTTCAATTAACACTTTTACACAACCCTCAGTTCAACAACTTAAAGTTTCATATCTGCATATGTACTTGGCCATCAGCATCATCATCTGCATTAACTTCAGGTTGCATGCATTACATCAGAATGTGAGAAATCACAATTAGGTGAATGGCCCAGCTTGGGAATCTGTGAGGGCATCCAAAAAGTAAACCACAAAACAGAAGAGCTGGAGGAACTGGTAGAAGAAGGCAACTTAGGAATTCTGGAGAGGACATGACAGTGCAAAATTGGAAACATTAGGGAACTCCACAGTAAACACAAGAACCACAGAAGAGGGAAAGAGAAATGGAAGAAGGGCAGAGAGGAACAAAATCCCTGTCCACAAATCCTTAATGTTTCCAATCCCAAACTTAGGTACATAAAACTCAGACATTAAATCACAAGAGGAAAAAAAGTCTGTCTCTTCAGTTAAAGTTTGAATGCACAACTAGGAACAGAAAAATGCTTAATAGTTTTCTTTCATTAAAGCATTTTGAAGTACTATCTATAAAAACCAACTATTTTTATATTTTAAAACCTTCTTACAACTCTTCCAATAATCCACATGAAGATGCAATGATATGTTCATAAATGAAAAATTAATCCATAAGACTGCAGTAGGATTTAATGAACTTTAAAGAAACTGAAGTTCCAAGAGAAGTTTTGGAAGGCTTCACATCAAAACAGTCCTTTAGTATAAGTGAGAAAACATCTTGCATAGGTCAGAGACATGGGTACCAGATGGTGGCAACAAGAATTCTTACTTCTATACAAATTACTAATCTAAAAGGACCCCAAAAAACAAAATAAAAAAAAAAACCCACAACTTTGAACAGATGCTGATCCAAACTGCCATATGCAGAAGAAACAAACAAAACTAATCTAACCCCCGCTAAAAAACAAACCCCACAGAACAACACTGTGACCCTAACATTTACCTATCTTTCCAAGACACATTCACATTTGAGAGAACATAGATAAACTGTTTTGATTTCCCTATTTTAAGCAAGCTCTCCAAACCCACCATCTTTTAACAGTAATCGATTTCAAAAGCTCCTTATACAATGCATTCTCTGATCCTGTCTCAGTGTAAGAGCTCATTGCTCTTTCTCCCCACTACTCAAACTACAAAGAGTGACTTTGATCATGGTTAGGTATACCTAAAGACAGGTATCTTAAAAAGGTCACAGAATTCACAAGTTTCTAATGGTTTATGAGGACTAGAGGAATTCTCAGAATATGTACAATTTTAATAAATATTTTTTTAATTACCTCAAATCATTTGTAAATGCATTATAAAAATTAGAGATTTCCCAAATACAGGAGGGGAAAAAAATTAGTTTTTATAATTAAAAGAGGAGCACTGACAATTGTAGTCTACTTTCAACTTGAACTAAAAGAATATTCAAAATAGAATCCACTGTCACCGCATAAGTATTTGATGGATATTTAACATCAAGGTATTTGCCCAGCTCTTGAAAGTAAGGCATCAGCATGTTCCAGTCTTGCTCACAGTAAGGGGTTTTTTTTCTCTAATCGTTCTGCTGTTCCATCAAATTACAGCTAGTAGCAGCTAATGCAAACAAAATAGACATAAACCTCCTAAGAGTTGTAAACTATGCAAGTTCATGCATTCCAATAAAACTGAAGTACATACAGAAGAAAAATCTCATTATTTAAGTTTTCATCTGTAACCATTTGCTAGAAAACTTGTACAGGAAGGACCTAATAAAAAAATCTGTGTCTTCAGCAGCACAAGGAACACATTACTTCCACCTCTCTAAAACTCAGGCAACGTTCTAGGGAGATTCTTCCAACACTGCCTTGGTGTTGCATCATTTTAACAAACTTAAGGGCAACAATAATGTCTACATGTTTTCCATCTTGCCCATTACTTCTCTCTTACATGCCATGCCCTACGACTACTTTGAAAATCATTCTCCTTGTATCATTCTGGTTACAAAATACAACATTTGCTTTCAGAAATGCATCTCCAGCTTCTGAGCAGACTACAATTCCTGCCGATTGTTTTTTTCTCTACATCAAGGTCAGCCTCATTTGTCTATCTGTATATCTTTTTACATCATGTGCATCCATGTGTATCTTCTGTCAGCCATGCAAGCTCTGAGCTTCACAGCTTACACTGCATCTGGTAAGAGTTACTGCAGTTTATTTCTGTATAATTCCCGCCTCAACTTATTGAAATGAAAGTTGTTTATAATTTTCATGCCTATGTTGCAATAGAGAAGCCACAGCACAAGCTCCCCCAACAAGAGGGAGAAAATAGACCAGTGAGGTGACTGACCAGTAAAAGGAATTATGTACTAATTTCTCTAGAATTACCAACTTCCTTCTCTACTAGCAACAAATAAGTTGTACAACAAGTTCCTTGTTGTAACAAATGCTATCCTTCACTATTTTTCTGCATCCACTCACATTGTGAATTGTAAATGACACTGCTCAGCTGTTCAAGAGATGACTTCATCCTTCATACCACATCAGCTTCCATGACATTCCTGCACAGACAATGTACCTGTCATGACACTAATAAAATGCTTTCATAAGGAAAGCCATTCCTAAAACTGAAGGTGAAAAATCTGCTACAACCACATCATAATTCTAACTAAAAGACAATTCTTAACTTCTACTTGCCCATCTTCTTCATGCAGCCAAGTTCTGAGTGCATTCTGTAGATCTCCACTGCAAATCAAACCACTGTGCAACAATAATTGTTTCTATCCCTGAAGTGATTACATGCCTACTTGAGCCCAACTTTCAATTACTGTCAACTTTCCGTTAATAAATTGATGACATTTAAATGAAACTCATGCTGACTGCATTGGAATCATGATTTCAGTATCTACTTTTAATACTCTAGCACCATTCAGTGAAGTGGGACCAATAAAAGTATGGTTTTTGAATTTTATTATTCCTGAGGTGATGACAAGAAGAGAATAATGTCTATATAAATGTAATTCACATAAGAAGAATATGAACATTAGCATTATCTCCTCATGACAACAAAATTCACAATGAAACACATAAGAAATTGGCTTTTGGGAGGAGAAGGGTTGGACTAAAGGTCGTTTTTAATAAAGAGTGTGAGTGATCCAAAGCAGTCCCTACATTTATGCTGTCTTTCTCCTTAAAGTTTTCAGTAAAATAATCCTAGCCAAAATACAAGACTTTTGAGTTGTACATATTGAAATACATCAGATGAAACAATAATGGCAAGCACATTACATTTTGATTTTTCCCCAGCTGCTCCAGCACTTCACCTGCTGATTTTTTTTTTTACTTAGTTTTCCACAACTACATATTAATCACTTGTTTTAAGTTTATAAGTATCATGAAAAGAAGCCAGTAAAACTGATTGGAAGCCTAATGCCTCAAGTTTTAGCCATGGCTCAAGCCTGTAAAAAGATTATAATGGCAACTACATATACAAAAAGCAACTTATACTCAGTTATAGCCTTTATTCCACAACTTGTTTGTTCATTTACTTACTATTTTAACATACAGCAAACACCAAAGAGCTTAATGCTTTATACCTGGCCAAGACTTACTAAGCATACTGCAATAATAAATAATCCTCTCCAGGTCTTCGTACCAGTAGGAATTGTTCTTCCCACTCCTGCATACAATTTGTTCCATTCTTTAACTGGGATATATATGTTTGCTCCATCCTGAGGGTTCATTTACAGACTGATGATGATCACTAGAAGTGCTGGCTGTAAGCTTCCACAGAAAACAAATAATTTTTTTTTCTTAGTGATTAAAGTTCAGAAACATTCTTCAGCAATTTATTCCTACTTCATTATTCTTGCTGCTATGTTTTTCTCACTACACAACTAGAAGCTTCCTCATTCCAATTGTTTTGTATTATATCTAATGCATACAAAAAAACTATGTAATTCAAATTGTTTCTAGGGTATGAAAGAAGTTAGGTGATTGTGTACGAAGGTCAGTCAGCCTCCCCTAATAATCAGAGAGAAATAAGAACTCAAAACAGTTCCCCTATCTCCCAACATTTAAAATTTTAATGAAGTAACTTCCCCTCAGTTTCTCTTGCATGACTAAGGGAAACCTGCATAACATTTGTGATTTAGACACACAGAAGTGAGGTTTCCTAAAGTTACACAGAGGAAGCCTCCCATGGGAAATTCAACCATGCTTACCACTCCTCAGGAAGCATATACAAGGAGACTGTGCTCACCCTGACCTTGTGCCTCCCAACTAGGGGCCCCTTGAAACCCCCAAAGTAGGTATCACAGCCTGTGTGGAGTTTGACTGTTTGAGACACTTAACAGTTTTGAAAACTGTATGAATATTATTTTACAAAACTTTGGTACGGTTATTTTCTGTTCTAATATACTGTCTAGGACACCATGTACATTTACATTTCCCTGTAAAACAAGATTGTATTGCTGTGAGTTCTCTACAGTGCTTAAATAGCCTAGATGTTCAAAAAGGTCAGATTTCTATATGAGAATTTAAGCTCTGGTTGTACTACTGAACACTTTTCTCCATTTTTATCTCCTTATTAACCTATCTGTGAATTCATTTTTCCTGTGTTGTAGGGACAACCCAAAACTCCCTTCCATGGTTTCAAAGAATTCAGATAAGCTCCACAACTCCTCTTGGGGCCCACAGGAAAAATGGTTGGTTCTAAAGCATTCCTTAAATATAAAGGAAAACCATATAAGCCTTTTAATAATGTCCAAAAGTACCTCCTTCAGATAATGTATCAGTATGAGTTTATCAGACATAATTCAGAAGACTTCCACTACAGGGAGATTAAGCATGAAAATCAAACCCTTTGTTCATGACAGTTACTTGCTCCATCACAATTACACCTTTTTCAAAATGGAAATATACAGCTCAGAAATCCCTCCCTTTTGTTGTGCATACAAAAAAATACTGAGAAACTCACCTACTAAGTTCCTCTGGCATTCTAGAAAATTTCTGCTGAATAAGTCATGCTGTATAAGGCACAGTTGACTTAAAAATACAAAATATAAAAAAAACACATGAAGTGGTCTGATAGCAATTTTTTTTCCATTTTGCCTTCATGGCAAAATGAATATATTCACACATGTATTCATTTCCCTCAAAATAAGAAGCTGACCAACACCAGTCCTGAACATTAAAGAGCAGATTCTTAGCTCACCAACATAATCATAGACTAAGGGCAACACCTATTTCCTTAAACATGATTTTATCGTATATTAGAAATAAAATGGGCTGTTTTCCAAAGTCTTTCACCAAGTTTCTAGACCAAGCAAAAAAATCCACCTCTTCATGGAAAGGACTTCACTTCTTTAGTGTGCATTGTCTTATTCTGTTTAGTTCTGCTAAACAGAGTAACACTTTATAGCTTAGATGGGAAACAGGTTTGTAAACTGGAATGCACCAGGCTCCTAAAAGAACCAAAATTCCACAAAAAACAGATCTGGCCACTAGATGGCCTCGAGATAGCAATTTTATGCAACATGGACAGCTACCACTAGGTGGTGGCTACATATCACTAAGTGATTGCAATATGCAGGTAAGCTCAGTAAAAAGTTTATTTTGCTACACTTCACTTGAATAAAATGAAATTAAAGAATGCTAACTTACTGTTATACTTAAAGCAAAGCTATCTGCCTCCACTTTCATCCCCAAGATCTTCCAATGCTGTACTTGACAGTCAGGGAGGAGGTGGGAGAACACATCTGAGACTAGTCATTTGTTCACTCTCATTTCACTAGAGGACAGTTACTGATAGAGTTCTCTTACATTTTAACTATGTGAGGGAATTTATTTGAGGCTTTCTGTGATCTGCCACCTCTACTTGCAGCATTTAAAGATATCCCACTCTGGGGGAAAAAAAAAAAAACAACAAAAGAAAGCCTTACTAAAAATTTCATTTTAATTGCTACTCTCCTAAATCTACATACATCAACTTGCTGGAGATTTTTATCTCCTTGTAGGACAAATGTGAATACATGATCCATATATAAAATATATACCTTCCTTATGTTATGATCATTTTTCATTTAATTAGCCAATTTCCTGGTAGAAATACTACTAAAAAGTAAAGGTATATTACTATATATAACTGTGTTTTTGTGAACTCCTCATACTATGAGCACAAACAGCAAATAAAGTTTGTCAATTTCCCTATGTAACCAGTATCCATAATAATCGATACATTCTAATTAAACACACACTTAAATACCTTACAATATGTAAGCACTCATTTTACACATTTCCTTCATAGATAAGCAAAGACCAAACATGAAACAATCATGAAAAATTATGATCTACAAAGTATTTTTGTCCAATGTGTAAGAGCACTGGCTGTGCAGTCAGATGCAGCTAAATACCTATTTGCAGAGAAGGTTGCCAGTTTATGCAAGTACATACTTGCACTCTTGAAGGTGGACACAAGGTTCTGGGAATGCAATTTTGGACATCTGCGACTTAAAGGACTTAACACATATTAAACTCAACAATCTCCTTGGCCTCCAAGTGCAGTGCTAATGAAGGCCTGAACCAGAATTTAAAAGGAAGAACAAGTTCACACAATAAAGGATCTAAATAGGTTGAATACAAAAAATTATAGAACATAGAAAAAGGAGAGGAAAATAAAGCAAAAAAGAAAGAGTCACACCTCCTTTTGCCCCCAAGAATATACTCTCTCTGTGCTCCAACTACAGAAAGAGGTGAGACTACAAAATTCACTTTGCTACTCCATAAATGTCTGGATAGATTTGCTTTGTGAGGCAGACACATATATGTTTGTCCCAAGACGCACACACCACATCATACATCAACATGAAAAAAAATCTTCTTTGAAAGCATTGCAACCTGCATCTGCAAAGTTAAAGAGATTGAAAAAACATTACAGAAGAAAGAATTACTACAAAACCTAGGTTGAAAGACACGATGGAGACTTCAGTGGACAATCAATCAGCTTTAATCCTGATGAATTCTCAGCAGAACAGATCTATCCCCAACACCAAACTTCCATCCATGTGTTGCTAAACACATTTATTTCAGAAAAGAAAAAAATCCTCAGAAATTAGAGAGAAATAAGTAATTGGTAAAATTAACACAGAGTCCTTGTAGAAACAGTTTCTAATTGCTAAATCTGATTTTGCTTAATGCAGTACACAAGTTACAAGGCATGCATAGTATGAACACAGTACATGACGAAGAGCTTCAGGAGAGCTGGTTGAAATCAGAGGTTACCTGAAGACAATGCATTTTTATATAACAGTGGTTAGTTCAACCTGAAAAGGAGTATGGTGGGATTTGTACCAAAAATCAACCCACAGCTGTTTAATTCACTACACTAACATCAGCAACTTTTATTCAGCACATCTTCTCTCGCAAATTTTTTCTAGTCAAAAATCAATCGCCAGATTCCTGTGATCTGATCCTTAGGTCTAGCTAGAAGATGATAGAATTTCCAGTTCTAGACTTTCAAGCATTCACTATGATTTTGCTTTGTCCCATTACCTTGGTGACAGATACCACCAAAAAAAAGGCAACATTTGCTGTATCTGGAACAGGAAGTGTTTATAATTTGTGCACAGGCAGAAAAATCTGTTCATTACAGTACATTAATGCAATTTATCACAGCTCTCTTTTATATGCCATAGGAAAAAGATACAATTAAGATATACCTCAGTAGGTCTGGGATGCAAGATAACTTACTGAAAAATGCCAACATGAAGATGCCATCATTGCCCACTCTAAGCTGATCTGCATCACTGAAATCATCCCGTGGTGGATACTCTTCTTCCTGGATTTACAGGTTAGTGATAATTTAGTGAAAAGTTTAGAATAACTATCTATAGGATAAAGTATTAATCATGTTTCTAAAGCTAGAAGAAAATTGACATTTCTGTAACATGTCCACATAAAGGATTTTTTTTTAAAATAATTTTTAACTATAAAACAAGTTTTATTCGTTGCTTATATTGACAGAGCCCAAGTTTTCTGCAAAAGTTGCTGTAGAAGAAATGTACATACTATCTTATTCATCTTAAATGAAACTAGAATTATTTCAGATTAGTACTTTGACAATCAAAACCAACTTTTTTTTTTTTTTACTAACTTGATATGTAGCCAAACTATTAAATTTTTTTGAAAAGTCATCACACAGTATGTGCTATATTTTTCCTGCTGGAAAGGTCTTCTAATAATTTCCTTGATAAAAAAAGTTATAGAATAAAGTTAGTATCTTAAAATCAAGTGCTGATGCAACAGCACTGCACTAACCAATTTTATAACCCACAGCCAAACATAAGCAAGGCAAAGAACACCTCCAGGGTCACTAGAGGGCGCGAGCACATTAAAAGTATCTAAAAGGCTTCTAAACTCAAAAAGCACAGCACTTGAAGTCAAACAAAAGCAAACAGAGACGTCAGTTAAAACGATCCAAAGATTTCTTCTATTGAGTCAAAATACTGGACTTTAAAATACTGAAAGTGAGAGTTGCTTTGTTTCTCAGCATTCGATTTTCAACAGAATTTGGCAGATATTCTATATGCAGCTCTATGCACAGGTGAAACATTGCTCCAGCTGGAGACTGGGAAATACAAAAGTTTTCACAGTAACAGCACTTCCTAAAGAGCCTGATGAAAATGAAAACCAATTAAACACCATTTTTATACTTGAATGAGTAACATCAAAACAATGCAGAATGACACACGTTAAATAATGCTGTCAGTAGCAGCAATAAGATGGTCTAAACAGAAGTACAAATAACATCCTTATTGTAATTTTTCCTCCTACTACCATAATGTATTGGAACTGACATAAGAAATTACCTATAAAAACAAATTAAATCAAGAGAAAACAAGTGACATTTACTTGGCTGTTTCACCCACAAGCACTTATTACAGAAATAATTTTTATGACTAAAAGAGCATTAAACGAGCACAGTGATCTAAAGCTCTGTCACATGTCCCCCTTTGTCAACAGAGCAAAATAATTTACCATCGTATGGCAATTAGGTTAAAAACATGCTCGAACAACTGCTGTACAAACTCAGAGCAGTCACCTTCACCCTTCGTAAAACAGCTGTGAAATTCCAGCTGTGCTCTGTATTTCAGATTAATTAACCAAGACATTGTATCAGATAACTTACTTAAAAAACACTGCTATTCACACAGACAATTCTAATGGAGGCACAAAAATCCAGTTAAACAACAATCCTTAGGGGCTATAATTCAACTCCACATCATTTCAGGTGTTCCTAAATGGTCATCTTAAGTGACTAAGAAAGCATTAGCTTGTTAAACTCAATTTTGCTGCAGCCACAAGACTGATGGAAAGGAAGGGAATGGGAGGGAAGGAAGGGCTGAAAAGGCGTTAAAAAAAGAGCTGCATTTGTATGTGTTTATCTCCGAAATGCATGCCATAAAACTTCCTTTTTTAAGTCAGGACAAAAAAAAGTATTTAAAATTTTAATTTCACAAGGTCTACAAAACCCATACATCATAATTTTGGACTTGTAAAGAATTGTCTGCTAACTACTGTACTTCATACTGGCATTTCCAAAACAATTAGTGAATTTTGCTCCATGTAAAAGCTGCTTCATAAAAAAGAAAATTTTGTTCAATGAGTAACAAATTTAGCAGAGCCTTCTCTGAGGCTTACACATGCGAGAAACACGGGTCAATAAATACAGCTCAGGAACATGAGAGCAGATATTTACAAGAAGCACTGTTCTATTATATGTGAACAAGTATTAATTTATCACATTCCATGTCAAAAAGAAAGATGAAACTGAGTTCTCTTTAGTGCCTCCAAAAACCAGCATCCAAAAATTATGAGTGTCTAAGAAACTAAATACTTAGAATACTAAGAAATTAAATTAGCCTATATCTACATCACTTAGGATTATGAGGTTTTATGAGCAGTCCTGTAGAGAGAAAACACTAATTGTACACTGCTCAAGTCCCACTAATACTGCCTGTCATTCAGTGCTCTCATTTGATCTGGTTGGTGTCAATTGCCCTAGTCTTTCTTCAAAATATAATTGTTTGCCACCATGCAGTGAGGAATAAAAATGGGTTATGAAGAACAACTGTCCTCTACGCTGATGCTAAGAGTTAAACATATTTTCAGAAAATACTTCTGTTAGATAGCGACATTTTTATCAATGAGGTATATATTTTATTTATATTTTTCTTTTTAATGAGAAGAATGTAAAACAACACATGCAAATATAGAAGATATGTAAAGTTATTTCAATATGTCATTGATTTTTGACAAATTTAGCCAAGTTAAGGAAGATGGACAGCATTTCTTGCTTTCTAAATAAGCTGACATCTGTAGGAACAGAAAACTAACTGCTCCTATGACCAGAGAAACATCTGAACAGCAAATTATATTATCAACATAAATGGCATGTCACACAGAGTAATTTCTCTAAACAAAAGAACATCAAATGGTACACAGCATCTATTAAAGTTTAATCTATTAAGTCTCCATAAACTACAGTGCTCGCTGTAGTATTCTGCAAGAGAGGACTGTTTTTTCTCCTCAATGTTTTTTAGCTTTTTTTCAAACTGAAATCTAGCATGGAATATAGGGAGACAATCACCTTATTCAAGTAAAGAACCACTAAACTGATATAACTCTTCCCAATGCAGTGTTTACAGAGAAAAACTGAAGAAAGGGTCAAATTACTTAATAAACCCCATAAATTATACCTTCAGCATACAAACCAATAGGGAGAAATTAATTGTGGGGGAGAAAAGGCACAATTAACCCCAGAAGCATTTGTTTGCCAGCAGGAAAATTCATAGCAAAGTCTAAACTAGAGAGAACTATACCATACCTCTGGACGACTGAGGAATATTTCATCAAACAGACTCCTAGATTCCCTAAACTGGGCGTGCTAAGCATGTAAAAACAGAAAAACATAAGACAAATGCAACTGAAAAGCATTAAGTAAAAGCCATTCATTGCAACATACAAACAAAGTCATTAAAGCAGTATTTTTGTCCATTTAAATTGCCCTTTCAAAACTGACCTTGAATTTGAAAAGAAAAAGCCAGGATAACTAATGCTACCACTACTGATAACACAGGACTAGTACAATGTCTTTGATAAAATGAGACATCTGGGAGCATTTGAAAGGAATACATGTTTATACACAATCTATTCCTCAAAGACAAGCTACCCAAAGAATTATAAAATTATTGAAAGTTTCAGTAAATGTTAAGTTTAGATTGTTCATATTATCTGTTAACACAGCGCCTGTGATGAAGTATTTAATATGATCACATTAAGGATCTTTTGAAGTGGCCTACAAGATTTGGGGGGAAAAATATGAAAGCTGTATAATAAGTGTGCTGCCCTTACATGTCATTTTCCTCTCTTTTGCTTGATGAGTAGATTTGAACCTTTGCTGCACACTTTGGAGTACACCATGAAAATGATCAGCTTCACACATCGCTCAAGGTAGCATAAGGACATTTAACTTTTTCTAAGTGTTCAGATTATTGCTGTAAAGAGGCAATATATCCTTGTTTGCAAGGAAGAAACCAGAAGCTAAGAACACAGCAGAATTCACATTTGTAAGAGCACTAATTTCATAAGGCTGAAAATAAAAACTGAAAAAAATCTACATGTTGTATAATTTGTCTACGTTTTGCAAAGTGTGTAACACTCAGGTCAGATAATGTCTGCAGCTGTCACTTGTGAAAGTGAGAAAACAATTGAACTTTGCACTATTGTTACATAATTAAGTTACTTATCTGTTCTTCCATGGCTATTCAGAGGTAAAACCTTCCCCTACAAATGGCAAACCACCACTCAGACTGTAACAAGAGCCTTCTTTCTTATTCCAACCATCTGCCACATTAAGACAGTCTTATTACACAGTCTTAGTCTATCTCAGTGCAAATCCAGAGGTATTAAATAAGGTAAGGATTTTGTGGCAGCATCACATGGTAAGACAATTAAAACAGCAGTAATTAAAACTGCACTGGGACATAATTTTACTATCGCCTACAAAACTGAAACTCAGCCTCAGCATTTCTTACTTTTTCCCCACATCCCAGCTTGGCAACCTTAATGCTGTTTCTCTAATACAGCTTGTGTGCGTGCACACTTTTGCTTAAAAAAAAAACCAAAAAAAACACCAGAAGCAAACTGAACAGAATTACCATCAAACTTGAGCACTTCAGCAGTCAGCAAGAATATGACTTTCAGATACACTTCTGATACTGACTTAGCACTGCCACAAGTGTAGAATCTTTTAGTCAATCTCTGCTTTGGGGGAATGATAGTGTGGTTCTTACTGATTTTTGTAAGTGAAATTCTTATGGCATCAGCACATAGTTCTTGAATTTCAAGCTCTCCTGTATGCTCTAGTAAACCAGGCTGTGAAAAAGTTTATTTCTCACTTCATTACTGTATCCAACTCTCTTGCCTCTTACCTCCAGCTTCCTTTTCCCTCTTTTCTCACATACCAGCTGCAGTTCCTTTCCCAGGACTACATTTTGTCCCCACTTGGGTTCCTTTCTCCACCAATCTCAGTTAATCCTTTTCCCTTCTGTTTCTCATTTAAGACTTTTACTCTGTCCATACCATTGCCCTCCATTCATCCTTGCCTTTTCTTATTTTGGCTTAGACCCATCCTCTCTGATCCCTGCTAGAGACAGTTACCTCCCTGCTCAATTAAAATCAGACTTCTCACAACATGTAAGGTTCAGAGGCTCAGCCATTGTCCTTCTTCCCTTCACCCACCACTGAAGAGAGCTCAGTCTAGTGGCTTTCCCCTTCCCTTCTAGCTGAAGGCTAAGAATAATAAAACTGTTTCAGGGCACACCGAAATTGCTATTTCTCAGGTCCAATGTTTTCACCAAAAGCAGTCAAGAACAGCCATAAGATCCATCTACTTTTAGATCTGTAATTCTACTCTCATATAGAGTATTAGAGAATGATCTCTGGAACAGCACATCTGAAGTCCCATCCCCTTCAGAGCTATGAGCAGCCTAAACTTTTTTATGCAAGACCATCTCCATGCATTTACAAAATTTGAAGCTGTAGTATCAACTGAGGAAACATTTTTCAAAAATTTGTGGTTTGACCAAAACCAGGCAGGCTGTTTGAGGAAGGGCAAAAGACATTTCTGTCACAGTGACCAAACTTGTAAGAAAGAGTAAATAAAAGTTTAAAACAACAAGACAAAGAATACTTGTTCTGTTTTGGGGTTCTGCTTGTTTGTTTCGCTTAGCTTTATTCTGGAAATTGGCTGAACCTCAGGCTGAGTTCTCAAGAACTACCACTACTGGTAGTTCTCTGTATGTCAAAATTTGTGCTTCATAGGGTTCTAGATGTAAGAACAAGAATCTTGTGTGAGCTGCACATCCTGTCTGCAGTGTCACAAGTACTCTATAAGGGGGTCGTTAATACTCCAAATTTGTAATTTCATAATAAGGGTTTCATTCAGACCAGTATTTCAGAAAAAGTTTTATTAATGACAAGCAGTAAGGACAGACTACAAAGAATCCATGCTCCTCTTAGAGCAGACAAAATGTGACAATGGAGATCATCCTCTCACTGCTAAAATTTACTAAGTCAAATCTCCGTGGTTTCCTACCAAATTCAGCCAGATTTGTGTGGCACAGTCACTGGTGATGTTACACAAACTCACTTTAACATGAGTTGTGCATCCCTTAAAGCGAGTGCTGTGCACTGCAAGCACTGTGCAGCAGTCAAGGAAGGACCTGCCTCCTGCTGGGTGAGTAAAGGCTTTTCCTAGTCACAAGCACATTGCAGCCAGTAAGATTTTAAATGTATATCAAGTGTAACCACATTTGATCTCAAGGAGATTTTTAGTGAAAGGACCAGAAGCCTTTGTTTGGTATAGTATATTATGGTCAATACTACCAAGCAGCAAAATTCCCACATTCCAAAACTTCAGAGAAAAGAAGAAACTTGCTTACAAAACTAACATTTACCACTAACTGCAGATACCAATCTTCTATTCTGAAGACTGTATTCTTCATAAGGTTAATACTTACAAAACTAGAAACACTGAATATATGCCTGTGAATTGTTTACCACAACTCATGTAGTGGCTTTTTCAAGTACTTGGAACATTTCTTTGAACTTCAGTATTTAAGTTTCCATAGATCAAACAACAGGAACCTTTCCTTTTAAAACCATCTACACGATTTGGGGTCATGACCCTTCCAGACTATTGAAATTCTCCCTTCCTCTCTAAAGGTCTTCAGTAATTCTTTTGGTTTTACATCCAAACCAGTACACATTAATGATAACTCTACAAAGTAACATTAGTAGGGAGATACCTACTTAAAAGTTGACAAAATACTGGATAAAACAGTGCAAATTTTGGCTTTTAAAAGACTGAATATGATGTACTTTCTACAGTACTTACAACTAACTTACATTATCTATATAAACATAAACTCCAAAATATTTAAATCATCAACCCACCCTTATTATAGTAGTGGGTCATAATATGGGCTCAATTGTTATAAATAATTAGCCTAACACATTTCACAAAACTGAAATACAGCAGAAGTGTATCACTTACTCGCTGGGCAACTTCAGCTGCAGCAGCTGCCATGGCTGCAGCTTTGGCCTTCTCTGCTTCATCATACGTAGGAAGAGAGGTAGCTACACTGTATGGAGGTGGTACAGGATAAAACTCATTGTGTGTGTCTGTTCAAAATAAAGATGTTATTAATTTTTAAACCAGAAAGATGTCAGAAATATTAACTTTCACATGCACACAATTATTTACCTTTAAAATCTATTTTTTCACAGGGGCTGAAACTGAGGATATTTGCATTTTTAAGTTCTTATAAATATTTTTAAAAGAAAAACTTTTAACAGCTTGATGCTGCTACCCAAGGCAGAAACCTTAGCATGGTGGCAAGGAGTCAACAAATTTATGAAGAAAAAAAGTCATATTTGGTTAGTTATATCCCCAGGTATTCCAACCAAATGCTTTTTATCCAATCATACAAAAGATATTTAGCAAAAAAAAGGTTATAAATATCAGTATAATCTGTTACTTCAGTCCTGTAACAGCCATGCTGTATTCTTATCAGTTTGGCCTTGTTGCCAACTCCAGTTGCTCTCTGAAAATCAGTTTTTTCAAGATTTCAATTTCAACACATTTTTTAAAAAATTGTTTCTTCCATCAAAATAGACCACAGATTTCATTCTTCTGTGTTGTAACAGTAAGACATTGCCATATAGAATAGAATTATTAACCATATTAATTAAAAGTACTTAAAATATGCCTTGAACTTCCTCCTACAGCCAGCAGTAGCTCATTAAAAGGCTGTTTACGTGGTAAAGGTTTTGTCAGCACAGGTCACATGGCAAACAGATTTGTCAGCACACCAACACAAGGATGTTATATATAGGGATAATTCCACACAGCTATGTATTATACTTGCAAACACAGTCTCAAAGAACAGGGACAGGAAACTGTTCTTTTAACAAACATTAAAAAAATTAGGTTGGCAGTTACTCCTAAAATATTTATTTGGCACATGGGAGGCACAAATCCATGTAACTTTACTTAAACAGGAACTTCAATGGTGCCTGCTGTTAAGTCTCCCATATCCCCAAGTCACAACCTTCTAAGAAAGGGAGCAGTGAATAAATGGGTAAAGAGACCCATTACTCATTCTTCATGAGAAGTTTTATCAAGAGCCTTTAAAGCAAAATTAAAGCAATATTTTCACCAAATTATGTAACACACTAAAGAAGCCTGAAGAGTTTTTTATAAGCAGGCAATGAAAATTGCTAATGAGGTCTAATAATGGAGCACTACTCAAAAATGTAGATGAAATGTGGAAATGAACTATAAGCAGACTTAAATAAAACCTATTTAACTAATTAATGAACATCCATTTAGTCTAGCAATTTGGAACAAGCAGCGTCATCTACAAGTGTGCTTCTTCTGAACAAATCCAAGGGCTGCACATCAAAGGACAGCTTTTTACTGCAATTGTGTGCATGGAAAAAAAAATACATGGCAGCATCAGACCACTTTGAACCAAGGGCTGATTCATACAGGCTCATCCCTGACAAGCTGCTATTTGAGAAAAATACCTGAGGTTGCAGCTGCTTCCACAGCTATGCTACAGTAAGGAGGAGGGGAAGTATCAGCCTCAGGTAAGGCTGCTGTCTGCGGAGGCTGCGGAGTCTCTGCAGACGTCGAAGGCTGCTCAGCCGCTGCAGACTCGGGGGGGTCATCCTCATTGTGAAGCTTAGGAGAAAAACATACACATTTCAGAGACATTCAAGGAATACTTCCCATGACAACCTAACACTTGCAGAGACATGTTCAAAGGAATACAAGATTAGAATCATCAACAAAACAAATTATTTACAAAACAGCATGTGACCACTTCAAGTACTCCAGCTAAATTCTCTTAAGCAATCACCTAAAGATTATCTTAACTGCCTTGCCTTTTTTTCCCCAGGAATGGTTTTCTTCTCAGGGATTTTCAGGGAGTCTTAAAAATCTGGAGTTTTCCGTGTTTACTATATGGCAAAATACTACTATGTGAATATTTTAATACCATTATATTTTTCTTCTTATGTACAGTCATAAAACGTATCAACCTATTTTAAAGCTCATCAGGTGAGAAATACTATCGTTTATTGTATTTATCTAGAAGAAAAATAATTAAGACATATTTCTACTTCTGTAACTGGGACTTTCATTCTCTTTCATCTTGTCAAAGAGCTTCTCCATGCAAATTCTACGACTTCTCAAAATATTCTGCTTTTCTTTACACTCTGGAAACAATCCAGTCTCTACAAAACTTCAAAGTTGCTGTTTTGTTTTTTTTTTTTTTTTCTTGATTAAGACAGTTTTAGAAAGACAGGTACAGTAAAGCATATACAGAAATAAGAATTGTATAAGGAAGAATATTGATTAAAACTATGGAATTGAGATCCATCAGTTCATATCTTTTCTTAGAGAAGACATTTTTGATTATTTTAGCTAACTTGATAGTTTTTAGACTGTAACAAGCTTTTAAAAAGAAAGACTACTAGAATTTAAAAAGTGCTGGTTCCCAGTAGTGTGAACTACAAGATAAGGTGCCTAGAAGGCAACAACTGAAGCAGCACATGTAAAACCCAGACCAAAAAAAATAAGATTAAATAAACATATCTAAAAGAGGAATTCTATAACCTCAAATCGGTACTTTTTATAAATACTCTACAGCAAAATATAATTTCAGTAACAAATATTAAGTATATAACTACAATTATTTCCCATTAGGCAAAGTACAAACAGACTACTGGAAAAAGTGCCCTCTGAGAAGAAGGCATTAAATTTCTTATTAAGCAGTCTAACAGTCACACTTAAATTGTTTTAATACGCAGATAATATCAAAGTTCACAGAATGGTTAAGGTTGAAAGGGACCTCTGAGCCCATCTAATTCAACCTCTTCGCTCAACAAGAGGCACTTACAGCTAGATGCATGAGACCACATCCAGACACCTTTTGAATACCTTCAAGGAGAGGGACTACATGGGCTAAGCAGAAAATCTGTTTCAGTGCTCAGTCCCCTTCACATTACTAAAGATAAGGGGGAAAGAATGTTTCCTGAAGCTCAGAGGTCACCTTCAATAGAAATGATAGGTGTTTTTGAGGGTTTCTGGGTCCTGAGCAACCCGGTAATTTAATGCCTAATCAGCGATCCAGAAGTAGCAGTAATACAAGAAATATTTTTAGCCATTTCAAGTAGTTAAATCCAAAGAAAACAAAAGTACTTCAAAATAACCTAATATATTCTGAGATACAGAAAGGAAGTGAGAATACAAACCACTCAACTCTAAAAAGGTCGATCAGATCAGAAAAGCAAGCTGAGAGCTACAAGCCTTATGGTTTTAAATTAAGTACAAAAATTCACAAGAAGAATCTAGTATTGCAATGGATAGAGCCAAAATAAGCCCATTCTTAAATAAAACGAATTTGATTAACTAAGGTATAAAGAACAAAACACTACTGGCATAGTTCTTACACTAGTGGCTGGTACATTCACCCTCATTTGGGATGTGTGTGTAGTTCTGACTACCCCACCAAAATAAGCTGGTCTTTGGGCAGAGGAAGAAGTAAAGCAAACTTAAATGGATCTCTGCTACTTCCATTCTTCCTTGCCTGCCCTCCTCCTCTTCAATCACTGCAACTTTTTTCCCTACCACACCACAGTAAATGCTGTCACTATTCTGAAGATATTGAGATCCACAAGTATGTCATTGGTCAAAGAGCATATCACTCCTAAAAAAAACAAAACAAAAAACTTTGTCACTCCCCAGAAATATAACTTGAAATCTTCTGCATGCCTTTTTGAAAGCTGTTTTACTCCAAATTATCTGTAATATACCAACAGGGGAGTAATTTAGTAGATGAAGTTAGCATGAAGATCAGACAAGAATATGTACATGAGACTTCTTGCCTTCAAAGACAAAACTAATGAGTCATTCAATGATTATAGCAATTGCAATTAGGAAATGGAAAAATTCCAGCCTAAGAGTTACTTACTATAGAGACCCTTTATGCCCTTTAGTGCCAAAGTGCCTTTATTTTGTAAGACTTATGTTTAGGAACCAAGTCTCTCTATTTATCCTCTCTTCTATTACAGATGCCTCTCAGAAATTCTAAAAAGTACCAAGGTTATCCTAATGCAGCAACTTGAGGAAAAATCTTCATCCCTTTTATTAAAAAAAAAAAAAAGCCAAAAACCAACAACCCCAAATAATTGGATTAAGTAGCTTGAATGTTTAAAGCTAGGATAATAAACACAAGTTGTTCCATGAACACAAACTAGCTTTTGTTAGCTCTTGTTCCAGTTTCCTGTATCCTACCCTCTCATCAAGGCAGAAACTTCAGCTCCTTTTGAAGGACTACTTTGCTGGGTTAAAAAAACCCAAAAAAACCCAACACAAAACAAAACCCACCCTAACTGCAGTAGAACTTGCCCCAGTAAAGTGGAAATTTTGCCTACATCAGCAGGGTATACAGCAGTGGTTATATCATTTTGTCTTGTAGCAACTCTGCCTTGTCTACACAGAGCACTGACTCTCCTCTCTGGAGTCACCAGCTTGCTTAAAACCAGTAGGAATCTCACTACCTTTGAGCCTCCCCTTCACATTTAATTTTGGCTCCTACTGGCGGTAAATTTAGAACTTATTTTTAGAGACAGGAGAAGAAGAGGCCTGACAATCTTCATAGGCTTCATTGCCATAGAAACCAAGCTAAAAACATCCAGAAAGGAACAGAAAGTGTCTGTTTCAAGGTATTACTTATGCTATGTACCTAAATGTCACCTGAAGCAGCATTTAGCTTTGAAATTATATAAATAGTATCCAAGATTTTCTTTTTCCAATAGTAAGAATGTTTCACCTACTGTTTAATTAAAGGACTAAGGAGTAATCACAGTTCATCATCTCAGCCCCTCCCAAGCCCCCAATGAACCATTATTTGATAGTAGGCAATATAGCTGCTTTTGTCAAGATTATGGTCAAAACAATTACCAAGACCTATTACAACACAGACAACTGTAAATTAGTACCTTCCCCTATTCTCCCCCTCACATTTTAAAAGTGGGTGACACTGAAATTTTTTTCTTTGTGTTTTAGTCGGTATTTGGGGAATTTGCCTGACTACATGGAAATACACTATAAAAAGAAAAAGTGAGTACTTTGCTATTAGACACATTACTCTTAAACTGTTCATGCCAGTATTTCAATCCCTGCTTTTGCAGCCCTCAAACTACAGTGCATTACAGGCTCATATTCTCAAAAAGTATCTATGACAGGACAGGTAAAATTCAAAGATCAATTGAGGAGCAATGGACGTTCTGCCAACAATGACTCAGTCTCATGGTAGCGGTGACCAGCACAAGACAACACAATAGTTTCCTTCATATGATTTTTACCCTACACTGTCTTCAGTTTCCTTCCCAGAAAAGATGTACAAAACAGTGATTCACTATTTCATTTCAGAAGTTAAAATCAATGCCAGACCTCTCAGCACCAAAAGATAACTATTTTATACAACATTTATTTTCCACTTCTACATTAATAATTTATTTTTAAAATAAATTATTCTTATACAATATACACAATTATTCCTTCCACAATTGATTTCCTTAAGTCTGTTATTCTGTATAATTGTTTCCAAAGTAATCAGATGCAATATCTGAAATCAGTTGACAGCTTATAAAGAAATATGATCCACAAGAAAGTGCTTAGAACAGAAGCTTTTACTGAGGGGATGGATAAAGATATTTTAAATGTTTAGGCTTATCAAAATAAAAACTAAAAGTGAAAGATCCCATTCTCTACTTAACACTTTTTATCTATCTGCAGATAGTAACTTTATGTGACCTAGTGATGTTCGCTTTTCTGGCTAAATGGAGTTGGTTTCATTTCTGATGAACTGATTGTACAAGAGTGGCAATATAAGCAAGTTATTCAACTATGCCATTAAAAAAAAAAAAAAAATCTGGGGAAAAGGATATAACAAGATGTCTGTTATCACCTGTACCAAAAATACATAAGATTAGAACGATGCTCTTTGATAAAGTGCATTGAAGTAGCACATGCTAATTCTAGTCATAGTGTACAAAAACCACTCAATTTCTGTTACCCGGTTTTACATTTCAAAAGCTGCTCTTTACCCCTTTCATAAAATATGATTTAAGGAAACCAATATATTATAAAAGTATTGCAACACAATTAACTTCAACAGCATATTGCACATTTTAAAATTTTTTTTTATAAACTTTTTCTTTTTCACGCTGCTTACATAGTTTCTTTAGTGTAGCAAAAATTATGCAGCGGATACTGCCATACAAGTTTAAAAAAAAGAAAATCCCAAACAATTAGCAAACTTTCTTTTCCTGTTTCTTTTAATGCCTTTATTACCAGTTCATCTTGTCAAAATGTGACTTTTAGGTAAATATTAGCAGTGATGGTTCTGTCTGGGGCACCACAGAGCTACACAAAATTCTCATTAGCAATCATAAATTAAAAAGCATTTTTAACATGCCCTTCTTTCTACCTTTCCAATGAAACTACATTTTTGAAGAAGCTTTGACTCTTTGACCTTACACTGATGAGTTTATGGTTTCTTCCAAACTGTATCAAAACTAATATGATACACAGAAATTCCATGATGTTGGACCTAATACTTTGCTTCAAGTAAAACTGTGGGGACAACTGAGTAGATCATGAAAGTTCAACCTCTGTATGCATAACAGTCCATTGATACACTTCTTTCACAAAAAGCAACATTCTTGGCACCTGAGATTTATCTTTTTCACTTGGCAGTAGTTACTTTGGTCTTCTATTATCGATTATTCAGCTTATGATAGAAGGTCAACCAAAAATATCCTTTTATTGCAGCTTCTAGCATGGGAGGGAAAGGCATGAGAGACTCAAGATTGCCAGCGCAGCGCACAAAAAGAGCTCTGACATTTCTGCACTAGAGTCATGACATCTTCTATACTGGTACCCATGTATTTATTCCACAGATATCATAACATTGTAAATATGAGAGGTGAAACAAACAGTGGGTTAAAAAAAAAAGCTCTCCCCTTCAAAAAACTAACAGAAAGCTTTTCACATCTGTGTATCACCTGATGCTTTCATTTGCTGAAAAAGTCCTTTGACAGTTGTCTACTGGTAATGATTTGTAAGTCTGCAATAGACTGCTCTCCACAAATGAAGCATGAAAGCAGAGATCTCTTGCTACATAAAAATCACTTCAATAAATAAAGGCTGCAAATCACTGCTTGTTTTGTAACCACACACTGCACTTTTCAGCTTTACTAGTCTAAAAATAAGATTTATTTATCTGTAAATAGCAAAATCTTAATCATAGGATTTTCAAGGCAAAGAAAAAAGATCTTGAAATAAAATGTTATTCTGAACCTATAAGAAAAACACTTCATTATTCTTTTTTCTGAATGCCACCTA